ACTAATCAGTTCTATATTATTCTATATCATAAAAATATTATATAATTTCGAATAGTATTTTATTTGCATATTTCATTGTATGGTTATTTAAATATAAAAATTTATTATAAAGATGCTAATCTATAAAAGATTTTTTTTAATGGTTATAGAATGCTATATTACTCATACTCAGTGACGTTTGGTCAAATTTTAAGGATTGGTTTCTGGGTTATTTTTGTAAAATAATGATAACGAGTTTCTCGGGTTTTCATTTTAATAATACAAATCCATGTTGTAAGGAAATTAATGCTGTACTAAATTAAGAACAAATCGCATGATTTTTGTTCGTCCTAGATAATCAGCTGTACAATATATGTAGTACCAGCATATTAAAAATCATATTTGATATAATCTCATGGCAATTTTATCAAGCCCACTGTAATATCAAAATTAAAACCCGAGAAACTCGGTATCATTATTTTACAAAAATAACCAAGAAAACAATCACTAAAATTTGACCAAACGTTACTGAGTATGAGTAATATAGCATTCTATATCAATTTTAAATTTTTTTTTACAAGTTTGCATCTTAATAAATTTTATATATAAATAACCACAAATATGTGAATAAAATATATGCAGATAATAATAAATGGTTCAGAAAATTAAAATAGAGTGAACTAAATAGGCAATAAAAATGAGAGCTTTTTAGATTAAATTACATGATTTTATTTTTTAATTTTATAGAAGGTTGCATTTTTGTTATTTTAAAATAAGATTATTTTCATTTCTATAATAACTTGTAATTTGAGTTTTTAATAAAAAATTTATATTCATATCGGCGGGGAGGATTATTCGAGATGGAGATTGTTGTGTTGATTATAATATGAATATTTGATTTATATGTGATTTATAAAGTGCATATCAATTGAATTAGGTTTAAATGAATAAATAATATGAATTTTATAATATTGATAGAGTCATTGATATAAGCACGAATTATTATGAATTGTTGTGGTATTATATAATTGGTGATAGAAACACATGATGATGGCTGGCTAAGATTAAGGAAATTATTTTATTAAATTAAAATGAAGAATTACAATATGATATTATATCTAAAAAATTTCCCCTTTATATAATATTATTTTAGAATATAAATTTGAATATGAAATGAAATAATTTAGTAAAAATCGCGATATGTATTATAGTCAGAAGTAGATCGCGATATATTTTATAAAAGGTCATACGACTATTGTAAATTATTTTAATTAATATTATAATTTATTTTAAATTATAAATTATTTAAATTAATTTTATACTATATTTTTATAATGAAATTATAATTTATTATATTATAATTATTATTTTATTTTAAATAATATTAAAATATTATTTTAATCATATTATCTTATTTTAAATAATATTAAAATATTATTTTTTTTAAACATTTATAACAGAATTGTTAAAAATTTTATGAATTTAGATATAACTATCATGTAAGTCTGCTTTGGGTGTATAGGGTGTATGTTAATGGTGATTTTAAATTATGGATATATATTAGTGATATAATATTTTTTTTTAAATACCATAAGTATTTTGAATTGGTGAACAAATCGAAATTGTTTAATAGATAACTTACGTTGAATAAGATATTGAAACACCCATATGAATATTTAATAATTTTGCAATGTTTATAAATATAATTAAAAAAAATATGAGATTTTAATACATAAGAATTTTGTTGTATGATATTTAACCATAGGCGTAGCCAGGATTTTTCTAAGGGGGAAGGGGGGGGGGGGGGAATTAAAATTTTTTTTGCAAATTTTATTAAAAAAAATAAGCCTGGAACAAATATGATTTATATTTTTATTAGTTTATATAAAATATAATAAATTACTTGTATATACATTAATATAAAAGCATGGTAATAATTTATTCCAAACAATTATAAAAAATTTATTTATAAAAAGTAAATGATATAGTTGATATTCCTCTATTATAAAGAATTAGTTACAATACTAGGTAAAATTTCACTTTTACAGACATATTTGACAGTTAGAGAATATATTACAATTAATAATTTAACAAATTTTAGTGATATAAATATAGCAACAATTTGCATTCAATTATTTAACGCCATCTATTTATTATTAAATAAAAAAAGATATAAAAATTAAATCTTCATATTATTCATCCCACAATGTCTTTAAAAGATATTTTCTGATGTCCTTATCAATATTTTATAGTTTTCTGTAAAATATTTAATTCGCTATATTGATAAAAATTACTTGATTATCATATGATAATTGATAAAATTAGATATACTGTAAATCTACGACATATAATATTCCACTGTTTGTATTGTGCTTTAATATTTTTATTTAATTTATGATTTAATTTTATCTAAATTAAAATTACTCACTTTATAAAAAATTATATTTGATATATTCAGTGGCGTAGCTAGAAATTTTCCTTAGAGGGGGTCCATACATATAAGCCTGGGGGCTTCGCCCCCCAGGCCCCCTTTAAGGGGCCTTCGGCCCTTTTGCCCAGCCTTCGGCGGGGTTTATCTTAAAAATCATAACCATATCTTCGATAATTAATAATAAATTTTTAAATGCAACAATAATATGTTATTATAATTTAGTAGATTATTCTCAATGACTTTATAATAATACTACCCAAAATAATTTCAATAGTAATATATTATCCTTTCACAAACATCAAAACCAAAAATATAAATATTAATGGTATTTATTTGATATAAAGTCACTTTTAAGTCTTTTGAACGTATAATCTAAAAAAATAATTTTGCTCTGGAAGGGGTCCAAACCCGAAAACCACCCCCGTAGCTACGCCACTGGATATATTATATTAGTAATTTTATGGATCTATTATTAATAATTATAATACATTTCACATTTGTCTTAAGACTTATCTTTGGCTTATATTCCATTTATTAAAAAACATTTTTGGTTCATATTATATATTTATATTATATTTCCCAAAAATGTATAAATTATGATGAATAGTTTTATAAAAAAATATCAACTTTTACATTTTTTCTTTCAAATTATTGTTTAAGATATATGCATACATTTTTGAGGGTCAGGGAGTGGGGACTAAGGGGGATATTTTTTATTAGCTAAAAATGATATTTACAAAAAATGATAAATTTCTGAACCCACCCCCTGACTACGCCTATGAATTCAACAATACATTAAGTACAAGTATTGATTCAAGTATAAAAATAAAGAATATTATAAAAAAATATTTATTATGACATCATAAAATCGGAAAAATATAATATAGATAGATAACAACTAAACAATAAATTATTTATAATATAAATAATTATCTTATTTATTTTCCCAAAAAACAATTGAGACATGCATTTTTAATATTCTCGAGATTCTCTGCTGTCAAATTATATCTATCAAGATAAAGAATTTAAAAAAATTAAGTATACTTCTTAATATACAAAAATATTTAAAAATAATGACTAATACTTACTTTTTAAATAAATCAACAGGTTCACAGACCTTATTAACCTTAGTAAAAATTGAAGCCGGACCGGGCAAAGACTAAATTCTCATCTAGCCGGTCTAAAAATTTTGCTCATTTGCAGAAGATATGTAAAATTTTAGGAATAAGTAAAGTAAGTTAAATGTTTTATATTTTTTATTCTATCATTGCAAAAAAAAAATTCGGCCCAAAAAATTGAAGATAAAATAAATTTAAAAATAAATAACTGCAGAAAATATATCTTTGATAGAAATACAATTTGAAAAACAAATTTGTATATATTTAATGAATAGAAAAAATTAATAAAACTTAATAAAGGTCAAGAATTAAGTTTAATTATAATTATCAGTAAATTTAATGTATATGCGAGATAATTGATATTAACTTTTTGAGTTATTTACTTTTTATTTTTTGGAATATAATTTGTACTTTTATTTAAATTTTGACTTGACTTTCAATTTTTTTAATTTTAAAATCTTTTTATTATTTTAAATTTCTTATTTATATTTTTATATTTTTAATATTATTATTTACCGATGGAATTTATGTCTTATAAATAGAAGGATCTGTAAAATTAATATACAAATATATTTTAATATATTTTTGGATACCTTATTTACAGACTGAATGGTTATAACAAAAAAACTGAAATAAAATTATTTTTACATTTCAGCTCTTTCGGCCAAAAAATATCTATGCAAATTTTTAAATTTTATATTTTTATCTTAATTTAAAACATATGATGCCAATAATAGATAAAATATTGTTATTATGATTTTATTAGTTTATTTTATTATAAATTTAAATAATAATTAAGAGTTTATTTAAAAATTTATAAAATATATATTCTACAAATTAATCGCTTTGATTAGATTGTAGAACATTAAATATATCGTAATCTCGAGACTATAGAGAGAAATTTCAAAAGTTTATACATCAGTTCAATCTCAAGTAGGAGAGGAGCACAAGTCTAACAACTTCAAAGGTCTCCATACAAATTAAAACCCTTGATATAAATAATAATGGTGCCCATCATTTTAGGTAAGTTGCCTATATAGCCCGATTATAAAAAAAAATATATATTCGTTAATATTCTTAGAAAAATTATTTTATTTTATATTTTTACTATTAATAAATAATAAAAAAAATCTTTTATTATTATTATAAAATTATATGTAATAAAATGTAGAAGAAAAATAAAATAATAATGATAAAAAATAATTGCAAAAAAAAAATTCGGTCAAAAAAATTGAAGATAAAATAAATTTAAAAATAAATAACTGAAAATATATCTTTAATAAAAATACAATTTGGAAAACAAATTTGTATATATTTAATGAAGGTTTAATTATAATTATCAGTAAAATTTAAGTATACGCGAGATAATTGAATTAATTTGACAAGAAATTGATATCTAAAATTAAATATTGATATACCGTCAATCGAATTCGACATCTAAGAAATGCCTATAAAAATCAATCATACTGACATATGATACGTTTTTCATTATACTAAGCTCATTTGATAAAATGGCATATCGATTTAATTCCATTTGGGGAAAATTGGTTAAATCATCAGTGTTATCTTCTTATATTAAACAGGTTATATAAATTCGCCATAATATTACATTCGCTAATTTTAAGGGCTTAAAAGAATTTAAATTATCTGAAAATACTCAAATTAAAGACTCTTCTGGATATATATACAATAACCTTCATAAATCATCAACAACATCGCAAAAAAGTTTAAGATATAATGAAATACAGACGGAACTTCCTGTTCAGAATGGAGTAGTTAGAAATATCGTTTATAATGGTCCATCAGAAATAAAGGTTTTTGCTTATAAGCTAATTAAAAACAAAGAGGGTGCTTATTATAATCCCAGAGTTAAAGAAGTTCAGGCTAAATTTGCAGTATTCTATTTTATATTTAATGAGTTATTTATTTTTCAAAGGAACAAGCAGCCAAAGGGGTGCCCATTTATTTTTGGGCTGGAACTAGAGATTATATAGCCTTTGGAATATATGTTGCTTTATTAGTTTGTATCCTTTCCAATGCATTATATGTGTTATATAGCTTTGTACATAGATAATTATTTAATTTGATTTTTGAATATCAAATTTTTATTTATATGTTATTTGATTTGTCTAACCAATTAGATTTATTATTATATGGTTTAAAGTGGATATAAAGATTATAAAGCCTCTATCATTATTTAAGGTTAAATCTCTGTTACAAGTGGTAACTAACAGAACCTATGATAATGGACAAGATATTTAATTTTCTAAATCTAAAAAAATAATTTAAAATATTTTTTTTCAGCAATTATTTGTTCAATTATTATCTGTACATACTTTTCTTTCTCTACTATCAAGTGGAAGTTTAATTATTATAATTGAGTTGATATTTTTATCTTTTTCTAATAGATATTGATTATGTACATCTACAAATAAACCTGTAAAATCAAACATTTATATATATCTTATCTAGCCTACCCTTCATATAAATATGCTGATTTTTTTCTCAAGGATACCAACAACCTTGTACCCAGTTGAAATTTAACAAAATGAATGTTACATACTGATTTTGTAAATGAAGATATATTCATTTGATTTCGAAGTAATGAGAATCTTGTAAAAGTGGTGATTTTATATAAGATTTATAAAAGCCTAAATTTTTTCTTATTCTTGTTGGTCTATTCTGGATTAAGCCAAATTCTTCAGTAATGGCTAGATTTGGAGACCACTATCTAATTTATGTTTTAGAATTATGCAGAGTTTAAATGATTATTCTATAACTCTTATTTTAAAAAATAATTTTATAGTCTTGTTAACATAAATTTTAAATTAATGGGTGTGGCAGGCTTTTCCAACATGTTTGCAAAACATGAAAGAGTGTGAACATAGATTTCCATGAATTGATAAAATTTTAATTTTTAAAATTATTTTTTGTGAATACTTTGCAATTTTAATCATAATATATAAGAATGCTCAGATAATCTACAGTTTCTCATCCCACTATACATGTAGTATATTTATTGAAATAAAAATTAATAAAATTATATCAATATTCAGAAGGTGGTACAGTAATAATCAAAACCTTAAAAAACAGTACAATATTTATTTTAAAGAAAAGATTTATTATGCAGCCACTACATAAGGTAGACTTAAAATCCAAATTTCAAAAGTTTTTAACAGATAAGTCAATGCCAACTATCATTTTAACCTTTCTAATTCACCCTGCTTGTAAAAAATCGATTCTAAATAAAACATTAAAATAATTTCTAGGTATTCCGACGAGGCAACAACTCTACCAATGAAAGTTTTGATTAAAGAGATTTGTCGTTCATAAAACAAGTAACAATTAAAATATGAAGTTTTAGAAGCTGGAAGATTCATTTCCGTTTTTGAGAAAATTTGCTAGTAAAATTCTATTAACTGGCAAGTTCGGCTTCCAGGGAAAGATTATTTTTTCTATAGCCAATCACTTAGAAGAAAGACCAACACAATCAAAATCTAAATATATGGACTATTTTGTTTTATAAATGGTAATTATTTTAAAAAGAAAAAAAAACTATGATAGAATAAATTCAAAAAAGCGTAAAAGTAGTAAGATTTGAGAAATTTAGAAAAAAAATTAAAAACCATGAAATTCTCGGGTTTGGCAAAATATTCTCTTACTCTTACGTGAGTTGGCGGGTGGGGTTAAAATTTTTTTAGTAGCAAGCATGATTTTTTTGCCACCATTAATGGGCAGGCCTTGAATAAAAAAAAGGGCCCACACTTACCTCTACTCATACCAGAGTAAAGTTCAAATTTCTTATCAGGGGATCACGGAGAGTAGGCCTTTTCATATATAGGGAACATTTAACTGCCCTCATAAACTTTACAATTGTTTCGCCAAAAATTTAACCTTTTCACTTATTATATAGGCTATAAATTATTTATTGATAATTATGACTTTAAACATCTTATAATATTTTTATTTCCCTTGGTTTTTATTGTCCTATATTATTTTGTCCAAAATCTATTGTTTTACCTATTAAGGCCCGTTCCGGTTTAAAATTTTCATCCATTTTAAAGCCTGTCAAAATTTTATGGCAATATTCTCTTTAATGATGATAGAAATATTATTATGAATATTGAATCATTTAAATTAGATCGAAACTATATTGTCAAAATCAAAATATAGAATATATCAAAAACATGGAAATGAAATATTGGCCAAAATTAATTTTAATTTTGCATTAAAAATTATCAGGGTTTTATATTCGCTTTCATTCTTCGCATATGGTTAATTTACATCTAAAATTCTTTTTTTTAAATAATCTTTATGACTTACTTTTTCCCACAATAGAATTTTTCCATAGGTAATATACTAATTTAATAATTCCTACATTATAAGATTTCGCAATTTCTTACACATCTGTATTCGTGAATCCATCTTGATTTAAATCACGTTGCCAAAATCTAAGTATTAAATATTTGAATATATATGCAATTATCTTCATTAATTTTCGGCCGTTTACTTTGGATATAGTTTTCCTATGAGGAAATTGCGATGGTAAATTAATTTTACTATAATCTGATACTAATTAGAGGTTGGCGCGGGCCTAATTTTTCATTCACGGCCTGCCCGCACACGGTGGTAATAAAAAATATCACGCCCATTCACGCTTAACCCCGTCATGCCCGAAAATTCACGGTGTTTTTAAATTTTTCAAAACTATTGCTATAATTTTATACTTTTTTGAATTCATTCTATTTATTTCTCTAATTTCATAATCCATATTAATAACAAAAAATAAATACAAGCTATAAATTAAAATTTATTTGGGAAAAGAAGAATGTCCATCTTTTTTTATTTCAATTGTGTACCCTCTAGTAAGAGATTGGCTACAGAAAATAACCTTTCACTTGAAGCCGAACTTGCAGCTGACAAAATTTTACTCGATAATTTTCTCAAAAAAGGAAATGAATATTCCTGCTTCCAAAACTTCAAAATATTGTCTTGTTATTTATCTTATATGAATCTTTTAAGTTCATCCTCACAGCTTTCATCGGTGATGTTGATGCTTCATCAGAATCTTCATCAGAATTATCTAGAAATATATTGTCTTTTATAAGTGTAGGATAAATTAGGAAAGTGATAGTTGGTATTGATCATTTAGAATATACGGTTTTTTATGAGTTTAGGATAAGTTAGGAAAGTTATAAATGGTAGTTGGCATCGGCTTATGCATATCATCTAATTTTATATCATTTAGCATTTTTAAGATTGTTTTATATATATCATTTTCTTCTTTTATTAAATACTTAAGTCTTTTGAAATTCGGGTCTAGAATTAAGCCTACTATAGTGGCTGCATAATAATCTTTTAAATGAAATCTAGTTCTGTATTTTAAGGTTTTGATTATTATTGTATCACGTTCAGAAGGTTAACAAAATTTAATTAATTTTTGTTTCCATAGACAAACTTTATTTATTGTGGGAGCTGCTCTCAGATTATCCGAACATTCTTTAAATATTGATAAAAATTTATCTAACTCGCGTATGATGCTGATAACACTTATGGCTAATCTGTTTAATTCTTGCTTGCTAAACAAGTACATCTCTATTTCAGAATATGATTTTAAGAAACTCTGTATCATGATATATACAGTGTTCTCGTTATTCTCGCTATTACATATTGTTTAAAGGTGTGGCTTAGTTTGCTATTAGCTGTGTTTGAAATATTGTACTATTTTTTTTTCAGCATTTATATTTAAGGCTATTTCAGTTAAACAATTGTCAAAAATATAATACATAATATTATTTAGTATATGGCATATACATGCTAGCGTTTCGTCATCTTTGAATGTATTTATAAGATTTGTTCCGTTATCACACAACTATACATTTATTTAAGTTATTTTCTACTTCTGTATATTCTCCTAAAATTGAATTGACTATACTTTTAATTTTGACGCTTTTTTCATCCATTGCCCTTGTGGCCAAAACAAATATTTTTAATTAAAATCCTTAATGATAATATGTCCAATAATGGTTAAAAAACTTAGATTTTTATAGTCATCCGTCCAAATATCAGTGATTATGGACAATGATCATGCTTTTAGTCTTAAATTTTATTTTATGGTATATTTTTGAACCTATAGTATTCATAAGAGTTTTCCGGTCCACAACTTTTATATTTTGTTATCTATATGTAACACCAACATTTATCTCTTGATCTAACTTGTAAAATCCTTCACTTTCTGTTGTATTTAAAGATTGAAGATCTTTACAAATAAAATATAACTGACTTTTCTGTAAAAAGTTTAAGCAAAATTTAGCATAAAGTCTCGCGATAAAAAACACCTAAACATAAAAAGAAAATAGAACTAACAAAATGGTCCCGGATGTTATTTATAAAATGCGGAACATTTTTAGTTTTCATAAATTATTCTTTTGTAAAAAAGAACTAAATTAAATTAGAAAATATATAAAATTATTATAAAATTGCAATTTATAATTATAAAATTGCAAATTTATATTTATAAAAAACAATTATAAAAATTAAAATTTCCGTGATTCAGGGGAAATTTATGTTCACGCCCGCGGAAAATTTTGGGAAGGCCCGTCACGCTTGGAATTTAAAATTTATTCACAATCACGCCGTGACCCCCGTGACACGATGGGTCACGCCTAATTTCACGGCCCGCGCCCACCTTTAGTATGAATATAACCACTTATAATCATATAGACTTTTATCGGGATATTTATAAGTGTCTTAAAAGAATATATATAATTGGATAATTTTTTTTATCATTCAAATGTTTCTAATTTATTAGCCCGATCTTTAATGTTATTTTATATAGGTTAGCCGTCCTTCTGACATCAATAATTTTGTATTTAAAAAATATATTAAATGTTGAGTATTCTTTTCTTCTTACTGTTTAATCAAATATAAATCACATTACTCATTTTATCTGAGCAACCAGAGCTTCCGTTCAGCATTATTCTGTTCTCTTCGCATCGTATGAAGTTGGGATATAAATTTTAATAGATATAAATTAACTTCAATCTCGATGAAAACCAAAAAATATATTCGCTTCAAACTGGAAATTAATTCAAAAAAATTATTTTAACTTTGAGGGTAAAAAATAAAATATCTTAGGTTAAGTTTTGAAAAAATGGGCATCAAAATTCGGGGTTTAGCCAAAAAATAAATAG